TACAATATGTTCAACATGAGCTAATTCTTTAATTTAAATTGCCACTTTTTAATATTAATCTGTTTGTCTATTTGAACTTTTTCTATTTATATCACCTGTTTTAGCTCATTCTTTTATTTGCTTAAATCAGGTATTGTTCCTTTTCAGCGGATTCTTCTATTTTCATTAAGTGCTTGTGATTTTTTAGCTATCCTTTTTTTTTTTCAATCATATGCTAATTAGCATTGAAAATTGTTACCAGTATTATGATATTTGCATTGTTTAAAGTATTATAATACTCTAAACATAAGTTTAAAACTATATTGAATCGTTGAGTTAATAGTATTTTACGTAGGGAATTTTTGTATAATAGTTTTGCTTTGTTAATATATGAATACAGATTCATATTTGTTTTCAGTTTTTGATTTATTGTTTATTTCTTATAAATAATAATAGTTTCAACTGTCAACAGTTTCTGTGTCTGTAACTCATCAACAGGTATAGCACAATCAAAATTAGCTTTATGGTTCAGTAGTGAAAGCCTCAAAGTCACTTGTCTTTACTTGCATATTGTTTTTTATAACACAAGTTCACTGTACAGAGTAAATAGTTAATACTGTAAAATAAATGTAGGTATGTTTGAAATCACTGAAGTTTCTTAGGAAAATATTGTATCAGTCTCATTACAGTACTTGTAAACAATTTTTAGGTTCTTTTTATTTATTTTTTTAAATTTGGTTTGAGGCAGAAAAATAATAGCTTATATTTGGTTTATCAAGAATTGTGAACTTCAAATAGCATTGTAATATTCCTTAGCAATCAACGTTTTTTTAGACCTTAACATTTCTGTTTTGTTTAGGATACATTGGATGATGATGAAAAGCAGGATTCTGATTTTGAAGATGATGAACTGAGTGGTGAATATTTGAAGATTTTGAAAAGGTACATGTTATATATTTAAATAATTAGGTTGGTTAAACACATTTTGTTATGCGTGTGTGTTTGTATATATATTTGGCTTGGTTTGTGTGGAGTTTACCTTGAAAGATACTTAGGTTGTTTAAAATTTTCTCTATATCGTGAATTAGACATTTTCCAACTTCCATTTTATTTGTTTGAGTATATAAGAAAGTTTTACCTAGCAGTTGTTGCACAACTGAAACTTGCAGGTAATAACACAGGCCTGCGATAGTTTTATTGTCTTGAAATTTTATATGTTCTACAGTAATTCCTGTACGCTGAATTTGAAAATATCCATTTTTCTCCATGTATAGATTTTTCACAAAAAATGTCGTAATGCAAAAGACCATAACACAGCTTTGAGACTAAAAGATTTAGATTTCACACAAAAAATCAGGATGAATGAGAATGCATATTTGTTTGACATCAATGTTCTTCCCTTTTCTTTAGTTTGTTTGTATTTTTGTTAACAAACATAATAAAAATGTATATGTATAGAAAAATGTTCATTGTGGTAACCAAAATAATAATTTCATCCAAGTTTTTTTCTTCCTAATTTGTAAAAAAAATTCTTGTGATAGGAAAAAAAAGAAGAATATTTTCAAAATCTGCACAGCTGAGTTATGGAATCTGTTATTAAAACCAAAACAATTTTTATGAGTGTAAATTCACAGGCCTGTGTAATTATTTGAAGTTATTAATATGTGAAGATAGGTTTAAAATTTATCTATCAGTATAAATGGACTATTTTTATGGGAAATAAAACAAAGTACCATATCTTAAGAAATTATGGTAACAAAAATCAATAAAATTGTATCCCATAAAAGAAAGTAAATCACAACATACAATGCAACTACCTAAACTTTGTTGCAGCCACCATTGTTGTGTTTCATGACTTTAACAACAAATTCCTCTATCACCAAGTTGATTAATGAAGTTACTAGCACAAACTAACTTTTTAATTTAGTATGAATGCTGGTTTTTAAGGCATTTGATTTTCCACAGTTTTGATTATACACAACAGATGCAGGGAACATTTTTTTCGTTTTGTTTTTGAAGTCTATAAATAAATCTCACACACATAAACTTGATGATGACAAAACCTTGTCGAAACGTTGTACATTTGCTGTCATGTTAAAGTTATATTAAAGTTTTTCTTCATTACCCATTTAAGCCGTCTCCAGCCATTATATATCCTCTATTTACTCCATCTTACCATTGTGCAGCTCCTTTCACCTTCTCTCAGAGGATTTCCATAGTGACTGACAGTTTTGACGGGGACACTTGTTCCTACTTGTTTGATGCCATGGTTTTTGATCTATTCTACTCTTGTGTCCATGTTGGCATGGTTTTTTTTGTTTTGGGGTTGAGATTCCTTCCTTTCAGGTGTGCACTGCTGTTCTTTTTAATCAAGACCTCCATCTTGCACATTTCCTTTGTACTTTGTGATAATCTTTGAAGATGTTTCCCATTTTCTCATGCTGAAGCTGCTCACCAGCAGTCTTCTTTGGTTTCCTGCCTTAGAAGATTGTAGATTCCCCCAGAGGTTCTCCATCCTCAGGAGTTGCCTAGTGTTGCCCCTATCTATTCTTTGTCCTACTGCTCCTTCTCACCATCCACTCTATTGTAGGGCTGGCCATTGCAGATCACACAAATTTTTTATTGTGTGCCACCTCTCAGATTTGGTCCTGTGAAAGTGCATCTCTCCCTATTTGTGCATCTTTGGACTCTCTTAACCAATGATTTTTGGGTCATGTAAGTGCCTTTTCGTTTTCATTCCTGTTTTTGTCATCTTCAAAAAAGACAGAGTATTGGTATTCTGTCATCAGTTTGATACATGAACCTCTTTCTCGACAATCCTTAACTCAAGATGGGTGATTTTTCTCAATGACATGAATGTTCTTTCTTGGGTTGTGAAGGACCAAAGTTGATGTTTTCAATGTATTTCTTCACTTTCTGATTTGTCTGGATTGTCCACAACACTAAGGTTTTTTAGTTCTGGGCCATTCTCTTTGTGATAACCATGACCCTTTGTTTTCAGTTCAGTTTTTTGTGCATTTACACAATGTATGCATTCTTTGGTTCTTTACTTCCATTATTATATGGATAATTGGTTCCTGCTGCCTTCATGTAAGAGCTGCTGTGGAGGCAACCTACTTTCTTTGGAAGATGTCTTATCTGGATTGGCTGGTAAGGTGCTTCAACTTTGTCTTGATCCTTACTCAGTATCTGGTTCATCTAGACATCTTTCTCAATTTACATGCAGGACAAGCTTAGCTGTCACCTCTGCATCTTCATGACTTGATATTCTGGTTTCCAAGACACTTGGATCTATTGTACTTTTACAAGAGGTTCTCTCACTTTTTGAGACTGACAACCCTCAAATCCTTTATCCCTCTTGGGCATGCTAATATGCAGCCCTTCAGTAGATCCTGAGCAACCATGCAATTAATGGAACATGTCCCAGAATTCTTTGTCAGCCCTTGTGACTCTCCATCCACCTCTCTACTCCCTTGTTGTCTTGATTGCCCCAATAATTACACAGTTGAGTCGCACTTCAAATGTCAGGGTGGCACTTGTTCTTGGAACCTTTGGTTTCTTTCTTGAAACTTAGCTTTTGATCCTGCAACCATCATTTATCAACTTGTCATATCCTTGTCTTGTATGGATGGTATCCTTCCCATGGAGTGATATCTTCATCCTTTTGGTGGTTCATTGAATTTTTTTTATCCAACTTTGAGTGTCCTCTAATCGATGTCTTTGCAAGTCCTCTCAATACCAGTCTTTTCTTATGGTTTCCAATCTCAGACTCTGCAGCTCTGGTTGTCAATGCTCAGAGCCAGGATTGGTAAACATGTTTCTTTATGTCTATCCTCTGTTTTTATCCATGTGTCCTCTCATTTGCAACATCACTTGGTCCTTCTTATTGCTGCTCTTCTACCTGCAGTCAGTTTTCTCTTGTGCCTTTTGACAACTAGGATCTTCTTCCACTTCTGTGGAGTTCCCTTCTACATTGGCCACAGATATACATCTTTCATGAGGGATGTTGTGTCTTTGGCTTCACATGTGTTATTTTTGTGGTGCTTTGGAAGACTGTCAGTCTTTTTATTGCAGAGTATCCCATTTTCTGTCTCATTCTTGCCAACCATCCATAACTGGATTCTTTACTGTCTCTGGTCCCTTTTCCACTCCTTTCCACCTGGTAATTATACTTTATCTTATCTAATTGGCTTTTAGACAGAGGTTTATTCATGTCAATTGGCAGTTATAGTGAGACATTGTCCATCACCTTTCACCTCTTAAGCAGCCCTTTTCTTTCATTTTCTGATTCTGACAGACATTTTCGAGACTTGTAATCATTCATCACTTTTACCTAGTCCAACCTCTTTAAACCTCTTCATTGTTCTCCAGGCTCTCACTGATTTTCTGTTTGGATCTTTGGCCTTCTGTTCCATGTATTCTGTTCTTGAAGTTGTATTTTCTTCTGCTTGCTTGTGGAAGACATCATTCAGATATTTATACATTTGGACATCTCATACAGCTTTATTACGGGAATAATTTTTGTTTTATTTTATTTCTTAACTGCTTCTTAGAAGCCTTGCACTGCCTGAGATGATGATCAGGTATTTTCTCCCATTATTCTCCCTTCCATTTCTTTATAAAATTGTTCTTCCTCAATTATCTTTTCTGTCTGGTTTAGGCTGTTTGTTGTCATCTTGCTCAAACTGCCTCATTCTGTGAAAACTTGCCATGGAATACTTCCTCTTCTCATGACTTTTCACTTTCAACTTTACTAGGTGAGTTTGTTAAATCATCCAGTTGATGTATTTATCTTTGGGTGAGGATGCCTGTACACTACCTTCTCACCTCCCATTAGGTTTGTTCTCTCATAGCTTCTCTCACCCTCTTGACATAATCTGGATGACTTCCCACAGGCTGAAATGTGGACAACACCTAACATTACCTACATCACGTAGCAGTTTCTTGTGCTTCTAGCTTTTGTCTTCCTCCAGTCTATCAAGAAGCTCTCAGGAGGTGAATATTGCTATTTGTTTTTAATTTTTCTTTTGCCTACCTTTTACCACTCTTAGGTCTTTCTATCCATTATTTCATGCCAATGAAACCCACCTTGTAGCTGAGAATGCCTTCGTGAAATCTGAATTGAGTGGGGAATGTGTAAATTGTTAAACCCATCTTCTCTGTTCAGTGCCTACTGTTGAGGTGAGGTTTTCTGCAAGACTGCTTCAGTAGTGTCTGTTATGTCTTCCAATTTGCTCTGTACTTAAAAACAAATAAACTGCAGCACCAGATGTGTGTCTACCCTAACATCTCTGGGAATGCTACTTCCTGCAAGTGATTGTAGTGAGTATCTCTCATATATATTTGTCTAATGTCTAACAGACTGACTTGTAGCCACAGCCACACTACACACTTATGCTCAGCTGGTTGCATGTGATATTACTGCTGGTTGAGCAATCTCACATTCTGCCTACCTTAGTGACACTTTCTTTTACCCCTTTTCTGTCAATGATTACCACAATAATATTTAGGAAGGAATATTCTCTGTTTGAGATGGGTGGTGGTGGGGGTTACACTCCTTGGGTTTCCTCTTTTGAATGATATTTTCAGAAAGAAGCTTCTATGCATCTTTGTGGTTCAGAGAGGTGAGTAGAATTTTTGAAACTAAAGTGTTATTTTCTTTTGTTCATTTTTTCAACTGGTGGAGAGTTATAGTGCAATGGTGATTACATCATAGCCTGGCACAATATATGTTGACACGAGTATGGATGGGAGCTTTGTTCAAGGCAGGTGGCATGTACAGGAAATTATGTAGCAGTGCATCCAAGGAAAGAGAATATATAAAAGGAATAGCTTCAATACTATTATATCAGTTACATTAATTGTAGATGGGCAATCAAAATTAACACTATAAAACAATGAACTTAATATGAGAAAAATTTAACAAAAAAAAATTGCAATTTATAGTCATATTCCAAAAGTCATAATGGGATATCCCCAATGCTTTTGGGTGCTATTACCATAGGCAATCTCCATCTGTCAGACAAAATCCAAAAAACAGATGATAAACCAGTTAACAGTCATGGAAAATTCATTAAGGGTACAGAGTTGAGTGCTTACATCCACAATGTCTCAACTCTTACTGCCTTTCACTGTCTGCATCCAGTTGTGGGAAGGCAGTTACCCTTAAAGAGATTTAATAAAGTCAAAAGTAGAAATAAGATAAAATCAAGCCACCCAAAAAATATATTTCTACTAAACATTACCTACCATTCTTCAACCTTTAGAAGTTCTAAAAAATCCTTAAAGTAGAATAATAACCACCCTGATAATTCTACTACATGTTACTCCCAACCTCCACCCTTTTTTAAAAATGACATTTTATATGAGATCTTAAAAGTCCAATGGTTTTTTATTTTAAATAGTTTTGAATTTAAACTCATGCTTCAAAAATAAGTGAAACTGAAATATATCTGATAGTTTTACATGCTTCCAAAGTGCTAGTTTCTTTATCTGAAAATACACCCATCCTGTTCTAATGGTACTTATAGTTCTGTTGACAGTCTAAAGGAAAAGTAAGCCTCTAGCATTACTTATATTGACTAGTAAATCTTAATACTGCATTAAATATTTAAAAGTAGTTATTTCATGGTTATATATTCATAAAACTTAAATTTATCAATATGCAAGCATTAACAAATAATTTTAAGGTATTTTACAAAGTTCTAGCTCTTGCATATCTATCATGAATACAATTTTTGATGCTTGAAAAGGGTTTAATTTTGTCTTGTTCTGAAGCTTTTGAAACTTTGCTTTTAGACAAAAAAGAGAAAGAGAAGAGTTGAAGCAACGACATCAACTTGAGTTAGCTGCTTTTAAACGTCATAAAAGCAGTGTTCCAAATACAGATGGTTTCCGACATAATGAGTGTGCTACACCAACATCTTGCTTGGATTCAAACCAGCAGAATGGTGTAGATTATGCTGGTAGATCAATCCCTGAAGGTGGTCAAGTAAAACCACACTTTTACAACACCCATAGATTTTCACCAAAGCCCAAAGAGCTTTCTTTGAGTTCATCATCAGGATCCTTCCATTCTGCTGGAAGCTCACCAGTAGAACCATACCAACCACATTTCCAGATTTCCAACAGTAAAAGTGCTCCAGTACCAATAATGAACACTAAGAGAAACTTTAGTTTGTTCGGTTCTGGCAGTGCACCCTCCTGCTTTAGACACTGTTTGCAAAAAAATCCATCCTTAGAATTCTTGCAGTATTCCCATCTTGTGAATCAACCAGAAGAAAACCTAAGTTATTCATCATCCAATACCTCATCTGGAAACTTAGAAAGTCTTTCTTGAAATCCTTAATGTGCTCAGATTATTAGCTTATATTCTAGTTGCAGTAGCATAGAACCAAAGATGACCTAGAATCAGATGAAGTAGGAAATGGGAAGTAGTGGAAACACACCTCATCATCTAGTAAAGCACATCTACACCAGTACAGAATATTACTTCCTCCTTCCTAGGTGACTATCATGAATTCTAACCAATATTTGGAATTGCTACTACCAAACATTCTTTGCCTTTAGCTTCATCACATGCTTCATTCATCTCGTGTAGTAAGGTTGTCAGTACTCCTCGTTATTAAAAGCATGACAAGACTGGTGATATACGAGATATGAAAAATCTGTGCCTTTTGTTACATTGAAATTAATTTTGAGGGTCACTTTAAATATGACAATAGCTTGTAATTGCTGTGGTACTGTTTGTTGCTTGGCTTTTCTAATAATAGGTTTAAAGCTTAGTGTTTGCTTTGATATGGTTGTAGCTTTTGCAGTGTTTTGAAAGTTACAAGATGATAGAGAAAAGTGCTGTTAGTCTGGAATTATTACAACAATTTTGGCCAGATGAGAAGCTAGTTGAAGAGTGAATAAAAATAACTTTTATTGACGTAGGACTACTTACTTACTATATATTTCTAATAAAACTGACATAAGCTCTGGGTCTTTGTAATCTATTTTATATTACTTTTTTTAAAGGGCAACTTGCTTGTTTTTAAATGAAAGAACTGTGAACACTGAGAAACTAAGCACAAAGTTACATGATTGCTAGCATATAATTTAAGATTTGTGAAATTTAAAATAGTGTTACTGAAAAGATGAAAGCTATTTTTCAAATGTTCATTCTGTAAACTTGTAATCAAAATTACACCAGTATTAAAGTAGAAGTTCCAATATTTTCATTTTTTGCAATAATTACTAATGTCTTGTGTATGAATTTGTTCTTATGAACTATTACTAAAATGGTTATTTTATCAAATGTAATTTGTTCTTATATTTAATGAACCTTATTTACTTTTTTTTTTTTATAAGTTGGATGACATTTGGCTAAAAAAGGTAGGTGTTATAGTACTGAAGGTTACATGCATTTAGGAACTTAAATATCTATGTGGAGGTTGCTTCTACAGGGTTTGAAGCTTTTTAGGTTTATATTGTAATACTTGATAGCTGGAAAACTAACGCTTTTTGGAATTTGAAGGTCATCTTGCACCAAACGTCATATGGAGGTGATGGTTCTTACAAGATAAAACCTTGTTAGTGCACTAGAGGAAGAGTATAGCAAACCTATACATATATATATATATATATATATATATATT